CCCGCCGAGCAGGGAGCCCAATGCGGGACTCGATCCAGGGACTCCAGGATCATGACCTGAGCTGAAGGCAGTTGCTTAACCAATTGAGCCACCCAGGCGCCCACAAAGATTCAGTTTTTAAAAGCCCTACCCCTTGAGGCTTTAAAAGACTTCTTTTTGTACAGAAATAAGATTTTCTAGTATTCACAAGTATAGTGAACTTCAAACTTTAAAATTAGTATTATGAAATACTCTAAATATGCACAAGAGTACACAGAATAATATAAGCAATATATTTTACTCCAACTCAGATTTAATAAATATTAACCCTTTACCCTATTTGATGGCTTTTTTTAAAAAAAATAAAATCTTACTGGGGCGCCTCCCTGCCCCTCCTCCCCCCACCCCACTCATGCTTGCTTACGCGTGCTCTCTCTCTGTCTCACAAAATAAATAAATGAAATCTTTAAAAAAAAAATTATGGAATCTTACAGTTAATGTTCTGTTTCTACTCCTCCACCCCATCCCTCCTATTTCTTATGCCCACAGATAACCATTATCATAAGATCAGCAGATGTACTTTCCAGATATACATCCCTGACGTTTTCGTACAAATGTTTATGTATATCTCCAAAAATAGTGTAGATTTTTTGTGAGATTTTAACTTAATGTTAAATGGTGTCCTATTATAGGTGTCATTCTGCAACTTGCTTTTTCTCAGTCAGCATTATATTTTCAGGATTTATCCCTGCTGATTCATGTATATTTCATTTATTTTAGCTGCTGTATAATGTACCATTGTATGTATTGTTCTATTGGCAACTGTTTATACTGTTTTAATTTATATTTATGCGTACATCCTGTACGTATCTCTTTGGGCAAATGTGTACCTTTGAGGCAATCTGTATGGTCTGCACACTGTCCCTGAACTATCAGTGACACTCTGTCCTAGTAAAGCCAAGATGTGTCAGACCACCTTCATAGAAGATGTATCAAGAACCACGTCCCTAGTATTCTGACAACAGTGTCCTGTTGAAATAGGTGAAAAGTAATGTGTGAGAGTTTCTCCGGGGCAATGGTTCTGAATGTGAGCGTGCCTCAGAATCTGCTGGAGGGCTTCTTAAAACGCACTCCCAGGAAGGCTGGGGCTGGAGTATTCCCTTTCCAGCAAGCTCCCTGGCAGTGCTTCTTCTCAGCAATCCCACACATACTCTCGGGTGGCTAAGGCTGCCCTGTGTTCTTCCCGGTGCCCGTTCTCCAGCTACTGGACGATGCCAGATTGCTTTCCAAAGTGCTCACGTGAGCTTACTAGATATGCTTACTGGCAGGGCATGGGGGCTTCTGTGGTGCCGTTTCCTTTCTGGGTAGTTGGTCATGGCACACACTGACATTTTTGGCCATCACAGCCCTGTAATGTGGTAGCTGCTTTGGTGGTGAATTTGCACTTCCCCCGATTATTTAGTGAGGTTTCAAATCTTTTCATGTTTGCTCTTCTGGGAATTGTGTGTTCATATTATTTGCTTACATTCACAATTGATTTATCTGTCTTTTTCTTATTGACTTTCTTTGTTGGTTATATGTGTTGGGAAATCTCTCAGGTGGTGGGTTGTCTTTTAACTTGGTTTATGGTGTTTATTGTTGGGCAAAAATGTTAAGTTTTATTTTAGTTAAATGAACTACTTTTTTCCGTTTATATTTTGTGCTTTTTTAATATCCTAACAAACTAATGAAACATTATTAGTTTCAGGCTGATTTAAAGATTATCCTTAAAAAATATTTTCTTTTTTTTTAAGATTTTATTTATTTATTTGAGAGAGAGAGCACAAGCAGGGGGAGCAGCAGAGGGAGAGGAAGAAGCAGACTCCCCACTGAATGGGGAGCCCGATGCAGGGCTCGATCCCGGGACACTGGGATCATGACCTGAGCTGAATACCGACTGAGCCACTCAGGCACCCCTAAAAATTATTTTCTTTTTTTTTAAAGATTTTATTTATTTATTTGAGAGAGAGAGAGAATGAGAGACAGCACGAGAGGGAGGAGGGTCAGAGGGAGAAGCAGACTCCCT